TATTAAATAAAAATACTTAATAAGAACTATACATAGGGATAAAAAAAATTTCAATTGTTATTCATATATATTATTAAATTTTAATCCAAAATTTATGTTTTAAAAATCAAAAAGCCAAATTAAGTCCATTAAAAATAAGTGGAAAGAGTAGATTATTTTAATTAGATACTGTAGTTGAGTAAATTAAAGTTATTTTTTATTTTTTAATACTAATTATTGTAAAAATGGTATTAATTATACTTTAAAAAATCTTAAGAAAATAGTTTATTAACAGTTTCTAATTACTAAACCAATTAATATACATTTAGTGTGAAAGGGTTTGCATTGCATTATTGATTTGACAAATGAAACCAATTAAGGGTCTATGAAGTAATCATCCTCAACCAATTAAGGGTCTATGAAGTAATTACCCTTGTAGACCAAGTCTTGGTCTACTTTAATTGTTGGATAAAACTCATGACAGTAACAAGTAACAACATTTGATGTAGAAGGCTTTGCATTTGCATTATAGATTTGAAGAGTCAAAACCACCATTTTCTATTGGCCTATCGGCAATTAATTTTTGTAGGTTAGTCTTTTGAATTTTAAGTATTAGTTCATTTTCTACTTTAATTGTTGAGTTACTAAAATACCCTTGTGAAATCGATAATATACTTTTTTGAAAAAATTGACAATGTATTAGTAATATATAAAAGGAAAATAAAATATTGTTTAATCTTAATATACTAAATTGTATAATTTGAATCTTATAATTTTAAAGACTATTCTCTTCCATGTAATAATTCTTCTCTTTGTAGACTAGGTCTTTTGAATTTGAAGTATTAGCTCTTCTACTTTAATTGTCTAAACACTCTTGTGAGATTGATAACATTCTTTTTTCTTTTTTCTTTTTTTTGAAAAAAATTGACAACATTTTAGTTGTACATAAATGAAAAAAAGAAGTATTATACAATATTAACTATATTAATTGTATAATTTGAATTCTGTAATGTTGAAATTTATCTTCTCCCATGTAATAATTTTTCTGTTTGTAGGCCAGGTCTTTTGAATCTGAAGCATTAGTTCATTTTCAACTTTAATTGTTGAGTTAGTCAAACACTTCCGTAAAACTAATGATATATATATTTTTAATAAACAAACAACATTCTAGTAGTGTATAGAAGAAATGAAAAAAGTATTATGCACCAAACTGTATAATTTAAATCTCATAATATTAAGGATTGTCCTCTTCCATATACTCCCTCTATTCATTTTTTGTAGTTATAGTTTAATTTTTTAACTTGTTAAATATAAATTTTATGTGAAAATTAATAACTTATATAAACAATAATTGAAAAGTTTTTTTTCAATATGAAGTTCTTGTTGAGTATTTTTATTTAATCAAAAAAATTTTAATTATTGTTTATATAATATATTAAATTTTAATCTAAAATTTATGTCTAAAAAATTAAAAAGCTTAATTAAGACTATTAAAACTGAATTGGCAATAATAATTCTTCTCTTTATATGTCCTGTCTTTTGAATTTGAAGCATTAGCTCGTTTTCAGCTTTTCATTGTTAGGTCAATTAAATACTCGTAAAACTAATAACTATTTTTCTTAAAAAAGGACAACACTTAGTAGTATATAGAAGGAAAAAACAGTATTGTAATCTGAATTATCCCAAATCAAACTGCATAATTTGAATCTCGCAATAAGGATTGTCCTCTCGCATATAATAATAATTCTTTTTTTGCAGGTCAAGTCTTATGAATCTGAATTATTTTCTAATTTAATTGTTGGGTTAATTAAAACGCTCCTATCAAACTGACAACATTTTAGTAGAATTTAAAAGGGAGAAAAAAATATTGTGTAAGTAATTTAAATTATTTCAAATTATATAATTTAAATCTCGTAATATTGAGAATTATCCTCTCTTATATATTTCCTTTGTTTATTTTTAATAATCTTAATTTGACTTTTTAACTTTTTTAAATATACATTTTTTTATAAAAATTTAATAGTTTATATGAA